CATTTAGTTCTTTTGATAATGTTCCATTAACGAAGACACACTGTGCTCAAAGCTCAGTATATATAGTACCGGTATGCTAAATTTCTGTCGATGAAAGGATTTGATGATAAGTGATATTGAAACAATGTTTACTTTGAATGAAAAAATGAAAACAAGATGATAATGAAAGTAATAATGAAAGTGTGTAAATGAAAATGAAATATCATGCAAATACATCTGGGAAACATGATATTGTGTTGGTTGTTTCTGTTTTCATTTGGGTGGCATTTGTCCGGGTGGCATTTGTCCTAGGTGGCATTTGTGATATATATATACTTTGAGATATGGTCAAGGCAACACACTGATATCTGTGCCTCTGAGCGTGCGAAAAGTTGTGGAAAGTCTCTTTAAAGTAACTGAGATAACTTTTGGTTTATGTAGTACCACAAATGTGTCTTTGAATTCACACTTCACAGTAAAATAGGGCAAGTATCTTCAGAAAAGTATTATGACCAACCCGTACACCAACTGTTTAGAATAAGTGACCAACCCTGCAGTGTATGTCAAACCAACCCGTATACTAAAAGCACTGACCGGCGTTGGAAAACGCATTTCTACGGCCAAATGCAGTAGGTTGTCTCAACGATACCGTATTCCCCATGAAGCAGAGGGTTTCCCCTACAATTATGCGTGGTAATAGTTTCCAACTGTCGCTCGTTATCAAGAGAGAAGCAATAATATACCAATTTTTGTTGAAATCTGAAATTCAACACGAAAAACCTGGCAATTTGTCTATGACAATGAATGAGTGAGTGAGTTTGGTTTTATGCCGCTTTTAGCAATATTCCAGCAATATCACGGTGGGATACACCAGAAATGGGCTTAACACATTGTACTCATGTGGGGAATCGAACCCGTTTCTTCGGCGTGACGAGCGAACGCCTTAACCACTAGGCTACCCCACCGCCCCATCTATGACAATGCACCTAATGAAACAAAAATGATAATATGTATTTTAAAAAATGTAATTCTTAGGGCACTTTAACTGCACTTTCCTCCTTCTGATAATCCACCACTTTGTAAGCAATACATGTGTCTACTCTGTAGTTTGACCAATGGCCCTTATACTGAAATAAATTTTACTTACACACTTCCTTCACCGTGTAATGTGGGATATATCAGATACTGCAGGTTCCGGAATTGTATGTAGTGTTACTTCACTGCAGTATGGAGCAACGTCTTGTTAGCTCCACCCACCATAAGGATGTGACAAGGAAACCCGTGCTCCATATTTTGATATGAATATTATTTTCTCAGAACCTGACATCTTTGGTTGTTCAGGAAAAGAGCATATCTAATACCAGATCTACTGGCATGGGGCGTTTACTTCCTTGAGTCCATGACTCGCTGACTCCCAACTCAGCAGACGACATTATCGTGACTCGGTGGAATATCCAGTGTCGTCTGCTCTTTTCCCACCACAAGTCAAGGCGATAAACAGGTGAGAAATTTACACATTGTCGTTCTAACATAATGCGTGTACAATACGAGCATGTTTATAACGAAATGACGGATGTTACGAACTGTTTAGGGTCCTGGGCCTAGATTTTCAAAGCTCTCTTAGTGCTAAGATAGTCGTAAGTGCCATACATTAACATTAACTTCCGACTATCGTAGCTCTAAGAGTGCTTCGAAAATCTAGGCCCTGGACATTTTATAGCTTTACTCGATATGCTAAAAGCGCATATCGGTTATGACGAACTAAACTTAACAACTCCTTGGAGTTCGTTATAGTTGTTTGTTTACTTTATTCGAAAATTCTGAATTCGAGTTTCCGTTGCCATGTCGTGATAGCAAGGGACGCAAAACTTGCTGATTGAGGACGTGCCACTCCCCTGTCTAAGCCGGACTTATTCTTCAAAGTAGTCCCATTTGTGCAGACTCAACAGTATTTAGTAAACTGCACTTCAGATCCATCATTGTGTGGCATGTGGGAGGAAGTCCCACGCTAATGCTGGCCTTAGACGTGCATCGACTTGGGCATGGGACCCATGTGAAGCTGGTTTGCTGAGCGCGGCGTTAAACAAACACTAAACACACAAATTACATCCAAATATGAAATGCATTATGGGACGAATGCGCAATGAATGATGTGACAGAGTAGTTAACGAGTGCACAAAATGTTCATAAAAGAACCATAAGCCCAGGGCTCCAGATATATTTTCAACATCAGGAGTACGTACTCCTTACTGTTTCAATGCAGGAGTACTGGAAAATCTTAAGAGTACATTTAGAGTACTGAATGGAATTTAATGGAGTATCACTAATCTTGTGTTTCGTTTCATATATGCACCACAACATTGGTACTCTTGTGTAAACAGGTCAATAAACTATAAAACAATACTTTTTTCAGATAAATATGATTCTAAGACCATACACCATTGCTGTAGTGCGTATCTGCTACGTTTTCTAAATTATTTCCTTCCGTATCGTGCACATTTTATATCCGTACATACGCCGATACTGCCCTTATCTGGAGCCCTGATAAGTCGTTTATGGGACCGATATTAACAAACCAATGCTTCGCAAGATCGGGATCGATGTGCTAGACCTCGGATTACCACTGTGCACAGCGCAGAATCATTACATCCGGGAACTTCATTTGTGGAATCGAACTGTCACAGCAACTGTAACTGCAAATGCAGAGCCTGGTTCGAGGAGAGGATCGACGCAAACCATTTGTAATCGTTTACGTTTGGATTTCGAGCCAAAAGACCCTATTTCCGTCCTGTGTTGCGACGACAACATCGACGTCGACGGGTCCAGCAGTGCAATAACGTTCGATTCTGAAATCTACAAAACTGGCAACGTGTGTGGTTCAGTGGCGAATCACGTTTTCTGCTTCAGTGCCGTGATGGAAGAATATGTGTCGAAACGAACGTTTTGCCCAGAATTGTGTCGCCCAGATTGACCGATATGGTGGTGGATGTGTCATGATGTGGGGAGAATTTTCTTACACGCAGAAATCTAACTTTGTGCGCCTTAAGGGCAATATAACTGCCATTCGGTGCAGAGACGGATTCTTAAGGATTCGCATGGTTCCGATCTTTGACCGCCAGAGAGAGTTGTTCCAGCAAGATAACGCCAGGCCTCACTCAGCACATGCCACTATTCAGTATCTTCAGAATGAGAATCGAGCATTTGAGGGATGACCTCGGCCGACACGTACATGAACGTCAACCTGCGTCCCAGACGTTAGAAAAACTGTCGCAGATATTGCAAGAGGAATGGGACAGAATTCAACAAGGTCAAATTCAACCAACTATTCAGTCCATGCTCCATGGGGGTCATGGTGGCCACAGCAGATATTTAAGGACGCCTTCACTTACTGAACCTTTTATAAGCAATACCTGTTCACAGACATTTGATCTCTTATTCTGTGTAATTTGGTTGATACTCATCGGAATTACACCTATGCGTTTCTTTTTGGGAGAGTATATTTCCAGGACCTCGGTTGCTCACCGAATGGATGCAGAATGGTTTGATCTAACGGAAAAAAGTAACTGCGCATAACATAAATTGCATAAAAGAAAACTTATGAAAATAACCCAAAATAAGCAAAGCACTCTGCATAAAATTTGATGTCACGTATAGGGTGTGGCACGTGTAATTTGTGCACAATGAACTTACTCACCTTTGGCATGCTTTTTGACACCTTAAGTTTACGCACCTGATGTTGAAAATTGAAGAACGGTCGGTTATTCTCTAGCCTCTGAATGGTGCGGAAAACACGTTAATCTCAGCCTAAGCTGCGCGTACATCATGCCATGGCTTACAGAATGTCAGCGTCTCCGCGCCGTGGCTATGCTGGAGACTGGAATGGCCCAAAATGACGTGGCAAGACATTTTGGTGTTAATCGAAACATGATCTCATCTCTATGGAAACGTTTTCAACATAATGGGAGATTTGCTTCGGACCGGCAGTCCACGATTGACGTTACGACAGCAAGACAACCACATTCGGCTGACCCATCTGCGGAATCGATTCCAGACTGCCAGTTTGACTGCTCGGAACATTCCTTTCTTACGTCCAATCAGTTCCAGGGATGTACGGAACCAGCTGAGGAAATACAACATCCGGTCCCACCGGACTGCAATACGTCCACCTTTGCTCCAACGTCACTGACAGGCACGTCTTGTCTGGTGGAGGCAGCATCTACGGTACAGGAGACAAGATTGGGATGATATTTTGTTCACTGACGAGTCGAGATTTCATCCGGATAGCTCAGATGGAAGAGGAAAGGCGTACATACGGCGAAGTGAACGGTATGCTGACGCGTGCGTTGTCGACAGTTTGGTGGCGAAAGCGTTATGGTATGGGAGGTTTTAACATCACACGGTCGGACACAAATTGTCATTGTCAATGACAATCTGACAGGTCAGCGATACAGGGGTTAGATCATTTCCTCTTCAATCAAGGACAGAAACGTAATTTCACGCTTCGGCAACTTAATGCCCGCCCACATGTCGCTCGTGTTGTGACAGCAGAACATTCCGGTACTCCGCTGATCAGCTGTTTCTCCGGACCTGTCCCCTATCGAGAACGCTTGGGGTGAGATGGAGAGATGTTTACGTCAAGCCCAGAAGCAACCATTGACGTTACCTCAGTTGGGGCAAGCATTGGTTCAGACCAACCTTCTCAAAGCTTTCTTCAATCGCTTAGTGTCGTCTATGCGGCGTCGTTGTCAAGCCTGCATCAAACGGCAATGGTGGACACACATGATGCTGAATTTGCGAACTGACTTTTGACACCACATATCTTCAAGGGCGTGTCACGATGCTTAGATTCAAATCATACAGATTTCGATAGTATCCTGTCAACAGTTGAACAGTGATTACGGACAACACGACAAATCATTTAATTATCTTTTTGCATTACAAAATTATTCCAGTAGCATATAAATGTTTATAGTTAATGCAATGTTATAAAAATGTTCCTTTTCTTTTAACAGCTTCCAGAAATGTCTCCAAATGTCTCCGGTGACGTCTTTCCCGAGTACTTAACCAGCCGTAACTATGACTACGCACTCAAAGCTCTGCCCGCCATCTTGTTTCTCGGAATTATATTGCTGGTGGGATGTGTGGGCAACGCTCTGGTCTGCTATGTGTACCTGGTCAAGATCGGAAGAACCAACGCTTTCCCCAACTTTATCTTGGCTCTAGGGTTCCTTGATTTAGTCAACTGCATCACAAATATTCCTTTTGACATGTTCCATCTGTCGCACCGCTACACCATAGGAACGTACAACGTGTGCTACATCAAGGCAGTGACAAATAATTTAATTTCGCTGACGTCCATGATTATTCTGTTCCCAATGACTGTCGACAGATACAGGAGGGTGTGTCGACCGTTACACAGGCAGATGACAGGTTATGGGGCTAAACTGTCCATAGGGGTATGCTGTGTTGCCTCATGCATCCTGTCCATCCCATGCGTGTTTGTTTATGGACCAAGGACCATACCCATGGACCAAGGACGTGTAAATGCTTCATTGTGCAGTATATCAGAAAAGGCCGGGACATTGCTTCCACTTTTCTTTAACGGGTTCGTTCTTCTCACCTTTGTGGTCGTGCTTGTCACAGTGGTTGTCGTGTATTCCTTGATATGGTACCAACTGTCTCAACAAACAAGATTCAGGGCGGCATCCACCAGCGGATATGTTCCTAATCAGTCCGACCTTGAGAAAGATCACAATGGGCGTGGGAAAGCAAGGAAGTTGAAGAGGAAGAGAAAAGCTTCTGAAAGCGACGTGTTTTCAACACGGGAATCCATGACGTCACACAGACGGAATCCAGTTCGACAGAGAACGGTCATGATGTTCCTCATTAGCCTCGTTTTCGTTCTCAGTTTTCTGCCTCATTTTGGAATCATGATTGCCAGCATGTTTTCCAACTTATTCGACAACCTTCCAACAGCCCAGATTGCCTTAAACAACATATTACTTAGATGTTACTTCATCAACAGCGCCTCCAACCCCATCATTTACAGCATCTGCGGCGTCAACTTCCGGCGTGCTGTGAAGAATTCGTTCTCCAGACGTGAGAGTAAAACGACGAGCACTCAAAACAGCAGCGAACTGAAGCGAATACAATGCGGTGCACCTCAGTCTCCTCAGCTCGCATGCCCCCAACCAAACACAGTCACTTCAGGCTATCCCGTCACTGGTCACACACATGCCACCACTCACGTCACCGGACATACAGAAAGTGACTCCACCCCTCACGGCAACTAGCAGACTGATAGTGACTCCAGTCCTCACGTCACCGGACATACAGATAGTGACTCCACCCCTCACGGCAACTATCATACTGATAGTGACTCCAGTCCTCACGTCACCTAGCATACAGATAGTGACTCCATCCCTCATGTCACCTAGCATACTGATAGTCACTGCACTCTTCACGTCACTCAGCATACAGATAGTGATTCCACCACTCTCTTCACTTTCCATACATATAGTGACACCACCCGTGACGTCACCTGAATACAGATAGTCACTCCACCCCTTATGTCACCTGACATGCGGACAGTGACACCAACCCTCACGTCACCTAGCATACAGATAGTCACTTCACCCCTCACGTGAACTTACATACAGACACTGACTCCATTCCACACGTCACCTGCCACACAGATAGTGACTCCACTGTTCACGTCACCTGGCATACAGATATTCATTCCATCCATCACGTCACCTAGCAATACAGATAGTGACTCCATCCCTTACATCAACTGGCATACAGATATTTACTCCACCGCTTACGTCACCTAGCATACAGATAGTGACTCCACCGCTTACGTCACCTAGCATACAGATATTCATTCCATCCATCACGGCACCTGGCATACAGATAGTGACACCACCCCTCGCGTCACCTGGCATACTGATAGTGATTCCACCAATCACGTCACCTGGCATACAGATACTTACTCCACCGCTTACTTTATCTAGCATACAGATAGTGACACCACCCCTCACGTCACCTTGCATACTGATAGTGATTCCATCCCTCACATCACCATGCATACAGATAGTGACTCCATCCATTACATCAACTAGCATACAGATAGTGACTCCATCCCTCACATCACCATGCATACATATATTTACTCCACCGCTTACGTCACCTAGCATACAGATAGTGACTCCACCGCTTACGTCACCTAGCATACAGATACTAACTCCACCGCTTAAGTCACCATGCATACAGACAGTGACTCCAACCCTCACATCACCTAGCATACAGATAGTGACTCTATCCCTTACATCAGCTAGCATACAGATACTTACTTCACCGCTTACGTCACGTAGCACACAGATAGTGACTCCCCGCCTCACGTAACCTGGCATACAGATACTTATTCCACCGCTTACGTCACCTAGCATACAGACAATGATTTAAACCCTCACGTCACCATGCATATAGATAGTAACTCCATTACTTAAATCAGCTAGCATACAGATAGTGACTCCACCCCTTACGTTACTTAGCATACAGATACTTATTCCACCGCTTACGTCACCTAGCATACAGACAATGATTTAAACCCTCACGTCACCATGCATATAGATAGTGACTCCATCCCTTACATCAACTAGCATACAGATACTTACTCCACCGCTTACGTAACCTAGCATACAGACAGTGACTCCAACCATCACGTCATCATGCATACAGATAGTGACTCTTTCCCTTACATCAACTAGCATACAGATAGTGACTCCACCCCTTACGTCACCTAGCATACAGATACTTACTCCACCGCTCACGTCACCTAGCGTACAGAGAGTGACTCCACCCCTCACGTCACCTTGCATACAGATAGTGACCCCCTCCTCACGTCACCTGGCATACAGATACTTACTCCACCGCTTACGTTACCTAGCATACAGATAGTGACACCACCCCTCACCTCACCTAGCTTACAGATAGTGACTCCAACCCTCACGTCACCTTGCTTACAGGTAGTGACTCCACCCCTCACATCACCTAGCATACAGATAGTGACTCCACCCGTCACGTCACCGAGCATACAGATAGTGACTCCACCCCTCACGTCACCTTGCTTACAGATAGTGACTCCACCCCTCACGTCACCTTGCTTACAGATAGTGACTCGACCCCTCACGTTACCTAGCATACAGATAGTGACTCCAACCCTCACGTCACCGAGCTTACAGATAGTGACTCCACCCCTCTTGTCACCTTGCTTACAGATAGTGATTCCACCGCTTACGTCACCTAGCATACAGATAGTGACTCCACCCCTCACGTCACCATGCATACTGATAGTGATTCCACCCCTCACGTCACCTTGCTTACAGATAGTGACTCCACCCCTCACATCACCATGCATACAGATAGTGATTCCACCCCTCACGTCCCCTGACAAACGGATAGTTACTCCACCCCTCACGTCACCTAGCATACTCATAGTGACACCCTTCCTCACGTCACCTAGCTTACAGATAGTGATTCCACCTCTCACGTCACCATGCATACAGATAGTGACTCCACCCCTCACGTCACCTAGCATACTGATAGTGACACCATTCCTCACGTCACCTGCCACACAGATAGTGACTCCATCCCTTACATCAACTAGCATACTCATAGTGACACCACCCCTCTCGTCACCTGCCACACAGATAGTGATTCCACCCCTTACGTCATCTTGCATACAGATAGTGACTCCATTCCTCACGTCACCTGCCACACAGATAGTGATTCCACCACTCACTTCACTTTCCATACATATAGTAACATCACCCCTGACGTCACCTAGCATACAGATAGTCACTTCACCCCTTACGTCACCTGGCATACAGACAGTGCATCTATCCCTCACGTCACCTTTCATACAGATAGTGACACCACCTGTCACGTCACCTAGCATACATCTAGACACCTCGAACGCTCATGTCACCTAGCATACATTTCGTCACTCCACCCTTCACGTCTTCCAGGGGCGGTGGGGTAGCCTAATGGTTAAAGCGTTGGCTCGTCACACCGAAGACCCGGGTTCAAATCCCCACATGGGTACAATGTGTGAAGCCCATTTTCTGGTGTCCCCCGCATTGATGTTGCTGGAATATTGCTAAAAGCGGCGTTAAACCAAACTTAGTCAGTCAGTCACGTCTTCCAGCATACAAACATTCACTCTTCACTTCATCTAGCGAACACATAGTCACTCCACCCTTCACGTCACCTAGCATAAGCACACTGACTCCACTCTTTACGTCACCTGGCGCACAGATAGTGACACCACCCCTCACGTCACCTGGCGCACAGATAGTGACACCACCCCTCACGTCACCTGGCACACAGATAATGACACCACCCTTGACGTCACCTGGTACACAGATAGTGACACCACCCCTCACGTCACCTGGCACACAAACATTCACCCTTCACTTCACCTTTTGAACACATGGCCACTCTTACGTCATATAGTCATCCCCAACCCTCACGTCATCTTGCACGCACAGTCATCCCAGTCCTCACCCCCACTACCATAAACATAGGTCCCCAAACTCCCAAGCCCCAAGAAAACCGTTCTCACTGTAGATTGTTCATCTATACTTTTATGACGTCACACTGCCTACTTGTTGACTATATGACGTCATCCATCGTTTATGACGTCACGATCAATATAGTCTCTGTAGGGATGACGCAATGTGTGTTTTTCCGCATTTTCTGTCTTGAAACTACAAATACAGTACAGAATACTGACGATTTGGAAACTCGGGCATGACGCTTTCCGTTCACTCGACAGATCACCTGTACACCGTCATGGCTCACCCTAAATGTTAATTCTTTCCTGTCCATAGATCTCTATACAACCCTGGATGTTATTCCTAGTTCCGCAATGTTTATACATTTGCAAGACAATCCTTGAGTAACGTGTATCTGCATACGCCGTCTGTAATTTTTCTATAGTTATGTGATATTTATTGCTTGATTTCTTTAGTAAGTAAATACATCTGCTTCAGATTCTTCTGTAATTATTCAGCTTCCGTCACAGTGCCAATATCCGATCGTTAATTCTCATTAAAATCAGAGGGGCGGTGGGGTAGTCTAGTGGTTAAAGCGATGGCTCGTCACGCCGAAGACCCGAGATCGAATCCCCACATGGGTACAATGAGTGAAGCCCATTGCTGGCGTCCCCCGCATTGATATTGCTGGAATATTGCTAAAAGCGGCGTAAAGCCAAACTCACTCACTCACTCATCGGAGCAAAGGTGCATTTGCAATGCCTTCACGTGTTTGGCTGAAGACTGTCTAGTTTAATATTTTATGTCCGTTTCAAATATTTGCGTCGACTGGGATTTGTTGGTTTATGTTTAACGGAACACTTCGTTAAAACGATGAGACGACGGTTTGTAAATAATCGAATCTGGGTCAGACAACCCAATGACTGACATCATGAGCATCAGATCCAGTTAGTGGCTTCCTAAGACAAGCATGGGTTGCTGAAGACCAATTCTAACGCGGATCTGCACGGGACCCTTCCACTAAGGATTGAGTAATATGGTTTTGCGCCGCTTTCAGTACCACCTCAGAGAGGAAAGATGTTTGAGACAATGTATCCACTTTGGGATTCGACCACAGCGTACTGAACGAACCCTATCACATCTAAGTTACCCCGCCAACCTGACTCCATTCAATGTGAAGTTGCAAACCAGTGTAAAGTTCAACTACTTATGTTAGAAAATCCTTGAACTACCACATCAGCGAGGATCCGAATTAGAATTGGTCTTCAGCTAACCCAAATATAGCATACGTCTCATTCGGTTCACAGTCACTGCAGTAATGCCTAGGTCACATACGTCTCATTCAGTTCACAGTCACCGCAATAATGCCTAGGTCACATACGTCTCATTCGGTTCACAGTCACTGCAATAATGCCTAGGTCACATACGTCTCATTCGGTTCACAGTCACTGCAATAATGCCTAGGTCACATACGTCTCATTCGGTTCACAGTCACTGCAATAATGCCTAGGTCACATATGTCTCATTCGGTTCACAGTCACTGCAATAATGCCTAGGTCACATATACCTGATTTTTCAAAGGTCGCTGCCCGATGCGGGGGCATCCGTGAAACCCATCGGTGTGCGACAGATTTTTGCCTACATCTGTGTCATATCTGTGCAGTAGTCACAAAACCAAGGATGATCGGAATATACCCCTCCAGTCACTGAAGTATTTTGGAAACATCGAAAGCTAAACGCGCCAAGTGTCTGACGGGTCATCTGGCGGGAATCGGCCGATCATCTTTCGGACGGATCAGTCTAAGTAATAACACAGCTTCCAAATCGTGAAAGTTGACATTCGCACATACCTTTTGAACTTTTACCTCAAAAACGTTTTGTACCCGAACGATTCCGAATGCTATTTTCCGCACGATCGCTTCCGAGTGATGCACATGGAGCACACCACAAGAGTGAGTAAACAGTCGCTGAGAATAGCGTTTTGTCAGTATTCAAGGATGTCAGCTTGCGGAAATATTAGCTAATGGTAGCCATGTCAACAGAAACCCAAAAGCGTATACTCTGCAGGTCATATGTCTGTGTTTTATGTGGGTTTTCATTTGTTATGAGATCAGTGTTGGCGACCGGGGAAGAGAAAATCCATTTTGTAAGTCCCGCCAAACCCTAAATAGTAGCCGTTGTCTGATTAGTTAAATCCGTTCTGCCGTCTCGCGTTTGATTGGACGGTCATAGGTCGCTCAATGGTTACCTTACGCGACCTTCCACAAGGTTTTGTTAGACTCAGTATAGCAGTGTAACGAATAATACTGAGCCTAAGTTTACTTAGACTGCCGGACGGATGTAAACCAAATCGTTCGGTTACCGATCAGGCGCCGATCGATGCCTGCTTTAATATCACCAGGTTCCCGCTCGCTAGAAAAGGAGCCCGCTCAGTGCCCGGAAAATCAAATTTCGTGTTCGACTGCAAGTTGTTGTCTCACAATCCACATTTTAGAAGACATGACTGACTGAGTTTGGTTTTACGCCGCTTTTAGCAATATTCCAGCAATATCACGGCGGGGGGACACCAGAAATGGGCTTCACTCATTGTACCCATGTGGGGACTCGAACCCGGGTCTTCGGCGTGACGAGCCATCGCTTTAACCACTAGACTACCCAACCGCCCCTAGAAGACATGAGTGAGTGAGTGAATTTAGTTTTACGCCGCACTCAGCAATATTCCAGCTATATGGCGGCGGTCTATAAATAATCGAGTCTGGACCAGACAATCCAGTGATCAACAGCATGAGCATCGATCTGCGCAATTGGGAACCGATGACATGTGTCAACCAAGTCAGCGAAACTGACCACCCGATCCCGTTAGTCGCCTCTTACGACAAGATAGTCGCTTTTTATGGCAAGCACATGGGTTGCTGAAGACCTATTCTACCCCGGATCTTCACGGGTCTAGAAGACATGAAGAGAGGTAGAAGTGCAGAGGTAGAAATCGCCATGATGCTCCCTTTCTAGCTCTGCCGTCAGAGTCCCGAACTGCCCGACGCAACAGACAAGGCCGGATCCACCCCCTCCCTTGAAGCCGCTCTAAAGTACTGTTGGAAATAGAATTTTTTTTTTTTTTTAAATTTCACATTTATATCTACAATTTATGTAGTTGATCTGTCAAAGTGTGAAATATCTGTTAAGCCAAAATTGGCCTATAGTCTCATGGGTAGGGAGAAAAACAACTTTACTTGGGAGAGATTAGTGCAGAAATAGTTAAAGTACGAAGATGCTTGCTTTACTATACTAGTTCAGGGCGAAAGTGTGCTTTATTACACTATACATGGTGGTAGAGCGAACTGGATTTCTTTTCTAAGATGCCAAATTTAATATTTTCTAAGGATAATTACGATTAATTTAAGGCAGAAACAAACGACGGTGTCGGTGACCCAACTGGCGTGCTGTTCTATTGATGTGTCTGCCCCCCTACGTTAAGACGAACGTTACCAGAAACAAACAAATGATAACAGTTTGATGACGGTTTACGATCGGATTAAATATCTTCTCTAAATTATTTTAATTACATCTGTCATTAACGTAAACCATATGGGACAATATGAACGTCGCATTTCTACTACCAACGTAAGTTTAGATCAGTACATCTAGATGAAGCTGAGTAGTCAAGCGACATTCCACGATTGCATTGTGGGAATGTAAACATTGCGAACATTACCGTGTCGCTGAAAACTTGTGAGTCGAATTGACACATTTTAACCGTCGTAAAATATAAACGTAATGTTTCCACCAGTGATGTTAGCTGCGTGAAGCAACTGCAAACCAAGAAACGGGATGCAACGGAGTAGTTTACTGTAGGAGGCCGTACGAGGCGATGACAACTGTAAAATGGTTCGATTACGAGGGAGCACACTAGAATGGCGTAGTGACGGGATAACGTCATTCAATTGTTACGTCATCAAAAAAATATACCTTTATTGTCTGATAATGTAATTTTTGTTTCGATTGTTCTAACTTCTAGGCATCTTAGAAATTGTATTACAAGGACACTTTTTAGCTTCATTATAAACGATACAAAATAATAACTTTAATACTGAAACTATTACGGATGTAGCTACAATGGAGTCTCACTATCACCATAAAAACAAACAGGTAGAAGGGGTCGTCGCGAAAACAAAACAAGGAAGTGTTATTAATGAAACGGACTAATTTCTTTAAATAAGATACGGAAGGCCTTATCAATAGAGACCTCAACACAGATGTTACTCGCAGAACGCGCATCCGTCACCTCGACAATTTCTCCAAAACCTATAACTTGGCGGAGTCGAAGCACAACATATCACTGAATGACAATTGGTTGTTCTGCAAGGAGTCAGTTCCGCCCGTGTTTCATTCATTGTTACATACGTTTCCCCAAAATACCAAGGTTGTGACACTTGACTTCCATATCCTGGTTACCATGACACTAGACATCCTGTGACACGTGATCACAGCTACCCAGTGGGCTGGAGAAACACATCAGGGACAGAGCGACTATCAAGTAAGTAAAATACTTGCGTTTTCCTGTAATAATTTATCCCTGCCTAAACTACATTTTTGCCAGCATTTATTTTAACGTTTTTCATTTGTGGCAAGACTTACCCGCGTTTTATGTTCTCAGAAAACTGAGACAAAGTAGGTGAGGGACAAGAATGAAATTTGCCTGTTCCTTTTATGTGGAGACGCCCTAAGTGATGCGGCAAATAGTGAGTGAGTGAGTATGTTTTACGCCGCTTTTAGCAATATGCCACCAATATCACGGTGAGGGCACCAGAAATGGGCTTCACACTGTACAACGCTTTAACCACTACGCTAGCCCACCGCCCCAATGCGGCTAATAGTTGCCGACAAGCATGGGTATAGTGGTGACGTACATTTCCAAATCGGGTGAATTTAGGTTTGGATCCTTGTGTGATGTTTACGCTTTAGACCAAGACTGAGTGAGTGAGTTGGGTTTTACACCGCTTTTAGCACTATTCCAGCAATATCACGGCGAGGGACACCAGAAATGGCGTTTAAATGACTTCACAACGGACACACACGCGGCGGCGGCAGTCTGTAAATAATCGAGTCTGGACCAGGCAATCCAGTGATCACCAGCATGAGCATCGATCTACGCAGTTTGGACACGATGACGTGTCAACCAGGTCAGCGAGTCTGACTACCCGATACCGTTAGTCGCCTCTTACAACAAGCATAACTAAAATGGGCTTAAGAAAATAATTATACAGCCTTATATGTGCGTTGGAAGATGGGCAGTGGTATATACAAACTTACCTCGATTTACTACAGAGAGATGCCTCCCTTGGGAATGCCTGGGTTAATAAGTGTCTTGCCACCCGGCCTGTATGTGAGTGAGTGAGTGAGTTTAAATTTACGCCGCTTTTAGCAATATTCCAGCAACATCACGGCGGGGAACACCAGAAAGGGGCTAGCACATTGTACTCATGTGGGGAATCGAACCCATGTCTTCGGCGTGGCGAACGGACGCTTTAACCACAAGGCTACCCCACCGCCCCTCGATCTGTATGTTTTCACAGGGCGATTACAGATCAATCAGATTCTTTAGAGAGTAATGAAACTACTGAAAGAGACGCGACATTTAAATCCGAATTATTCTGCTCGTTCTGTTCAAAGGAAAGCATCGAGTAAGCTCCAGAAGCGTTTGTCCAATTCTATTGCATGTGAAGTAAACGAATAATGATTCTTGTTCCAGACGGTTTGAGCAATGTCCCTCAACTTATCAGAAAACGACATTGCGGATTACCTACGTCGTCATGACAACGCCTACGCCATCCAAACTTTACCCGCCATCTTGTACCTCGTCATACTGATGCTACTGGGCTTTGTCGGCAACTCCATCGTCTGCTATGTCTATCTCTTTAAGTTTCATAGTGTCACAACCACATCATACTTCGTCGTGGCATTGGCAGTGCTAGATCTCTTAAACTGCATCACAAACATCCCCTTTGAAATCGTCGACCTCAGACACAACTTTACCCTCGGATCTTCGGTCGTCTGCAAGATCATGCCATTGACCGTGACCTTTGTATCTCTTGCCTCTGGAACTGTTTTGCTAGCCGTTGCAGTGGTCAGGTATCGGAAGGTGTGTCATGCGTTTCGCAAACAGTTGACGAAATCGACAGCAAAGTTGGCCATTCTGCTTTGTTTTGTATTGGCTGCCGGTATGTCCGCGCCGAGTGTGTTTCTATTTGGGCCAAGGACGGTCGTGCTTGGCGGGGACGTTAACGGCACCGAATGTGGCGTATCGGAATCTTTTGAAGAGAGCGTGTTCGCTGTCGTTTACAACGGAGTCCAGTTTCTCGAGTTTGTCGTTGCCACAGTGACTATCGTCGTGCTGTATGTATTAATATGGCGTCAGATATCAAGGCAGCACAAATACGTGAGCACGGTAACCACGAGCGCCAATACTGGACGAACCTATGAGGTTCACGTTGCCCGCAGCAGCGAGAACGAGGCCACGTCAATGTCAACGGGAGATCTATATATTTCGTCCTCAAATGACAGCGAACAGGGTAAGAGTATCTCCAATGTCAGCAAATCACAGGATTCGACCATTCCTGGGAACAACAGTGCTACAACAGTCCAAAGACAGCCAAATCTTGAAGATGCACAACAGCCATCTCAGTCTGACGACACAGACACGGTGAGAGTCAAGGACACGCCAAGGTCACAACGTGAGATACAAGTCCGGAAGACAACATTAATGCTATTCCTCATCAGCCTCGTTTTCATTCTCAGCTTCCTGCCTCATCTTGGCATCATGGCGGCCACCGTTAACAACAAGCACCTGTACGACAATCTCCAAGGAGCCCAGATCGCCGCATACAACATCTGTGAGAGATCCTATTTCATCAACAGCGCCTCCAACCCCATCATTTACAGCTTCTGCAGCGTCAACTTCCGTCGAGCCGTCAGGGATATGATAAAGAGGAAGAAATAATAAGAAACCAGACTCAGAAACGTTTAGCCTGATGGCCTACGATGCATCGATGGAGAATTCGTAACTACTGTACAATACATGAGCAGCGACTATGACCTCAAAAATTGATATTAATGCCCAGACTCATACTTGTTTTAATAGTGCCAGTTCACTCAAGTAACATCGATACCAGACTGTCACAGTACACTGACTCCGAGCCAACATCGTTGCTAAGAGACACGAAGGGTAACAATAAGTACCATCATTAAACATATTTGGGTTTGACTCGGACGAGGATCGAACTCCCGATCTTAAGCTACTCGGGCAGACGCTTGGCTAACAACACCACGGAGGTGGTGAAATCTATGGCGGAAACAAGAAGATAGAGAGACTTCGAAAGAGATTTAGAAGACAACCCGTCACTGCTTCAGCTGTTATTTTCGGGTCCACAGAATAATTTGAAGTCCAAGTTGTGAAGTCGTGTTATTCTTAAGACCCCTCTCCCATCCACCAGGGTGGAAGTCATTTACTGTTTCAGTTGATGCTGGGGTAAAAAAACTAATTTGCTATCCCAGGACCACTAGCTGCCAAGTCAGCTGCCATGTCATAGCTGCCATGACCACTAGCTGCCATGCCATCCCAGGACCCTAGCTGCCATGATGACCACTAGCTGCCATGTCATCCCAGGACCACTAGCTGCCATGTCATCCCAGGACCACTAGCTGCCATGTCATCCCAGGACCACTAGCTGCCATGTCATCCCAGGACCACTAGCTGCCATGTCATCCCAGGACCACTAGCTGCCATGTCATCCCAGGACCACTAGCTGCCATGTCTGGAATGTTGTACAGTTGTGCCGGAAAAAGCAAATGTACTGATTTGCTAAGGTATGTCTACAAAAGACATCAGGTTTTAAATGTATTTTATATTCAAATAAATTATATTTTCAAAATCCCAAATCATTCTAAGATTACTGACAAAGTGTCACTGCAGTTCATGCTTTGTATAACATCGCTATTACCAACTGAAAATCCAAACACAAGAAAAAATCAACTGAAATGTTTAGTTTCTTTTGCTCCTCAGTATAGATTTTAATCAGCCTCATTTTATGTGCCTCTGCGTGTGAACTTGTTGGAGCGTGCTCCGTGATGCTCAGATAATGTGTACTTCCTTGTGACAAGTTAGGCTCAGATAATGTGTACTTCCTTGCGACAATTCTCGGGAACAACTCTACCCTGATACATGATCGTGAATAACAGACATGACAATCTGACCAGAATGAAAATGTCTCAGATCAATCATCATCATCATCATCATCTCTTATTCTTTGTAACTCGTACCCTTTTGTGTATTTCTTTTCGGTAAATATAGACGTCGTCATCAACATCATCATCATCATCATCATCATCATAATTTCTTATTCTTTGTAACTCGTAACCTTTTGTTCGTGTATTTCGTGTAAATATCATCAAAGTCAACATCAGTATCCCTTATTCTTTGTAACTCGTAACACTTATCTAGTAGATGTGTATTTTGTTTCACGGGGGTTTGTGTCTGGATTTCTGTGGAATTGTTGATATTTACTGGACAATCCACAGAGACGGAAATTCGCTGCCACTTGGCGTGCTCATTCCCAAATATTGGACAACCAGTACCGCCTCGTACTCATGTCAATGATCCGTAGTATATCCGTACCCAATGAAAATATACGTGATTTCAAGTTAATGTTTGTATTCTAAACTGCATTAGTCAGCTAATGAAATGAAATGCAATGACCCGGAAATACTTTGTCACCACTCGCCCTTTTCCGTAACCTCGAAGTCACTATTCGGCTTCTCCCGGAATAACACGAGCGAGCACCTTTAGAATCCCTCACCATGATTTGTAAGGAAGTAACTTGCAACCTGAAGTGATACAAAGAAGTGTCTTAACAAGTGAGTGAGTTTAGTTTTACGCCGCACTCAGCAATATTCCATCTATATGGCGGCGGTCTTTAAATAATCGAGTCCGGACCAGGAAACCCAGTGATCAACAGCATGAACATCGATCTGAGCAATTGGTCTTTAACAAGACATTGTACACCAGACATTACTCAGACAAATTCATACCAAAGTAAACCAACAATTACTCTCTTGAATGGTACAAGTGCCGCTCAGTGGTCTTCATTATGGGTGTCACCTCTCGACCATCAGAGTGAGTGAGTTTAGTTTTAAGCCGCTTTTAGCAATATTCCAGCAAGATCACAGTAGGGGACACCAGAATTAGCTTCACACATTGTACCCATATGGGTACTCGAGCCCGGGTCCTCAGCGTGACGAGCGAACGCCTTAACCACTAGACCACCCCACTGCCCCACCATCGGAGCAGATTGAAGTAAGACGCATTTGCAATACCTTTACATGTTTAGTTGAAGACCGTCTATTTTCTATGGTGGCTGATTAGGGCCATCGCTTTCTCACCTTAAAATTCGGAGGCGAGAAAGCGATATCATGAGATGAGAAAGCGAAAACGCGAGACGAGAAAGCGATAGCACGAGACGGGAAAGCAATAACACGAGACGAGAAAGCGATACCATTACGCGAGAAAGCGATGGCCCTAATCAGCCACCATAATTTTCATTTTTTAGGTCCGTTTCAAATATTTGTGTCGACTGGTATTTGTTAGTTTGTGTTTGACGGAACACTCAGAATATACTTCCCATCAAAAGTTTAGACTCACTAGTGTAAATATAGCCACTTACTTCAGGCAACTGTTCTTAACTAAATTTTGCAAAATATTCCATACTGTTTAAAGGTACTGTGCGCAATTCATCTGCAGAAAGTTTGCAGTTGGTTCCCCCAAGTTAGAGAAATCAATCTTCGATGTAACCATATATATACATAGCATATAGTGAGTGTTTTAAGTGAGTCTAAACTTTTGATGGGAGGTATAGTCCAGTGATGAGACGGTGGTCTGTAAATAATCGAACCCGGACCAGACAATCCAATGATTGACATCATGAGCATCAGATCCAGTTAGTGGCTTCCTAAAACAAGCATTGGATCTTCACGGGACCCTTCCACTTAGGAGTGACTTATGGTTTTGCGAGGCTTTCAGTACCATCTCAGCGAGGGGGACGGGGTTTGAGACAATGTAACCAATTTGGGATTCGATCCAGGCCTAACGAACGAGCCCTATCACATCTAAGCTACCCCACCAACCTGACTCCATTCAATCTGAAGTTGCAAACCAGTGTAAAGTTTCAAAGACTTGAGTTCGAACCTCCTTGGACTACCAGATCCGCGAAAGAATTGGTCTTCAGCAACCCACGCTTCTCGTAAGAGGCATAAGATTCGATCATTTACAGATCGCCGGTTAGAGCGGAAGGTCGCGGGTTCGATCCCCGACCGCGTCATACCAAAAGACGTTAAAATATGGCACTTGTTGGTCCCTGCCTGGCGCTCGGCATTAATCGGTACAACAAGGACTTGTCTGCTCGGAGTCAGTATAATGTGTCTGAGTGGGGTATTCCTGCTTCACTGCGGCATGGTATCTCAGTGGGCGAACACTATAGAGGCCCAAGTTTGTTTTCTTTTTTGCACTGAAACGGTAATTAGGTTTTGTTCAATACACCTGTCGTTTCCGGACCGACAAACCTGCAAATGTGAAAGAAATAAAACAAAATGTAGTAGTGGTTAAGGCGTTCGCTCGTCACGTCGAAGACCCGGGTACGATTCCCCACATGGGCACAATATGTGAAGCCAATTTCTGGTGTTCCCCGTCGTAATATTGCTGGAATGTGGCTCAAAGCAGCGTAAAACTAAACTCACTCACTTAAATACACAATGCCATTTATAAAGTGGTCAAATGTAGCATATGTTATACACGTTCTCAGTAAAGTACTGATTCTAGTTCTTACGGGTTTCAACCAACACTCGCAGAGTCAGGCATCTAACTGCCAGCACATAGAGTCAGTGCTCAGCCCAACAAAATTTCTAGAATAAGAAATTCACTGTGGAAGTGCTGTCCCAAATGTAACACATGCCTCATTCATTCAGTTCACAATCTTCGTCCTCAGCTGAATCGGCGATTTGTTTACACAGGTGATACACTGCATCAACTGTCGCCGCAGGAGCAGGATTAGTCAGACAGAACCTACGTTCCTGAACCTGAAGAAAAACTGTCATTATTTATTTGTGCGTTTTCCAAGTTTGTTACAAGGGCGCATTGGCAACTAAAGGAACAGTGCGAAAAAGCGAGATGCACGTGCATTAGTGACGTCAGAGACATGTTATTACTGCTGATTGACAAAGTGAGAGAAAATGACAGGTTATAACTTACAAAGTCTATGATTTCTTCAAAGATGAAAACGACAGGGGGTGACCGAAGTATGCAATAACTAAGTACATACAGCGCACTGCATGTGCAGCTGGGGTACGTATCATCACGCCAGCTCAAAAATTTGTTAAGAACCCGTTAACGCACGTGCATCTCGCTTTTCGCGTTGTTCCTTTAGTTGCCAATGCGCCCTTGTAACAAACTGGGAAAACGCACAAACAAATGATGGCAGTTTCTTAATCAACATTTTTATTTTTGTGACAAAAATTATGCATTTTTTTTCTAGAGTTGGTCTGTTGTTTTTATTGCACTCCGCGTTGGTTTGATTCTTTTTATGTCTATTTGTTTTTGTGTTAGATTGCAATTCATCGATATCATTTTGTCACAATGACTGTACAGGTCATATCAATTCAAAGGGCTGCGTGGAAGAGACAATAATACAGTTCCGGGACCGTGAGACAGACCATACATCGCGTTACAGGTCAGGTGACCTTTATCCGACCAATCAGAGAATCGCTTACAAGATCTTGTCACTGCCCAGAGCTAAATCAGCGATTTGTTCACACTGGTGATATGCTGCATCAGCTATGGCTGCTAGTATGGCTGCTACCGATATAGAACAGAGAGATCGATAATCGTTAACTAAACATCGATAAATATCGGAGAGGTAACTTTAAACAAAAATGCCCTAAATGTCTGAAAGAAATCAAAATATTTCACTGGTGGGTGTTGACATGTTTTTGCATGGATTATTAGCAAAACAGCATCCTGAACATAATTTAGAAGCAGACCATGAATAAAGTCCTAAAATTGCATATTGTGTGAGAACATTTAAACTTTTTCTTTCACAAAAGTTAATGTACCATATTATCGGATGACATAGCTTTCATATCGATAATCATTGATAATTATTCCTATCGACAATATTTCCTATTATCGATCATTTTAGCCCTTGCTGTTATTGCAGGACTAGACAGATAACACCCTACATTCGAAAGTATGCCGGATAAACCATCTCCTCTGTTCAGGAAGTCCTTGTTGGATGTAACCTTTTAGATGAAGTGTTCGAGTGTGCTTTATTTCCTGGGTAAGGATTGTGTGTCAGTCGACATGCCTCTGTTGAATATCTCTGCTGCAGACCCCTGAAGATCCGGGTTAGAATTGGTCTTCAGTAACTCATGCTTTTCGTAAGAGGCGACTAACGGGATCGGGTGGTCAAGCTTGGTTAACACGTGTCATTGTATCCCAATTGCATAGAACAATGCTCATGATGTTGATCAC